CGCTAAGTGTAGGAAACATGATGAACTTCTCTGGTCTATTGAGAGTTCTGAAAATGGTCTATTCAGTTTCTAACTTGCAATACGGGTAAAGTCACCGTTGAACTTCTCATAGATAAGCACGGCTACAGTTAGTGAGTCTAAAGGAAAGAGCTGAATTGAAGAAAGTCATCCTTGCCGTTTTGTTGAACGTTGTCTTCAAGTAGCAGTGAAGAGAAGAGAAGAAACTTGACGTGGAAGTCCGGAGGGCTTACACCTGCAAGAAGGTATTCAGCTGATCGACGGAATGGTGCAGCGAAGGAGTAACTCACTGTTTGAACTTTGGACTTTGATCTACAGGTCATGAACCGCTACCGAACGATCCACGGTTGCTAACTAGACCGATAAGATGTAGCACTCAGTACGAGAACAAGGTCAGGGAGTGAATCGAATGATTCAGTCGCTAACGTGAGCAAATACACCCATTGGCCATTATGTCAACCAGGTCAGTTAGTACCTGGCGGACTTCTACCAAGCATGAGCACACACGCTAGCTCTCAACCGTGTCACTCAGCCTGATGACCTAGCTCTGGAGTAGGCATAGTCACAATGTGCAATATCAGTGATACTAATGCTGTAGGGGATTTCAAATAGACCTATAGCACATGATTGTATTTTTACTTACTGAGAGAGTTGTCCGTTCCTTTAAAGATCTTCTTCAAACGTTGGCTGAGTGGGCTGACTGGAATAAGTAGGTCGTTGAGATAAGGAGAGCGTTATGCTGAACTTGTTATTCACTGAGAGAGCGTTATGCTGAACTTGTTATTCACTGAGAGAGCGTTGTGCAGAACTTGTTATTCATTGAGAGAGCGTTGTGCTGAACTTGTTACTCTCTGAGAGAGCGTTGTAGCCACTACAGACTGATTAGTAGTTGAGAGAAAGAGTAACAATGACTAGAAAGGATAATGCACGACTAACAAAGGTAGGTCAGAGGGACTGTTCAACAACACTAGAAGACGTTTGAAACAAAAGAGAAAGGCAGGGAGACGAAAACGGACAACTGGACTGTGCCTTGAGAAATGGATGACTGAGCGGTGCTGACCAAATAGCGATGTGATCTGATGTTTGAACGAATCGTGCATCACATGCATGTGGTAAATGGCAGGACATGCTCACTGTCTGGCCGACCACGGACGGCCATCTACTCATACATTACTAGTGATACTGCTTTAGCTTTGTGGCTGTGTGCCTTAGCGCGAACTCAGGCATCTTTTGTTCGCAGCATTGCGTGTGTGCGTGTGTCATTGTGTTGTCACGTGATATGCTACACGTCTGCACGATGTCGTCCCGCTCTGCACAGACCGAGACCATAAAAATGTGTTGTTTACCTAGTCATTGGTGAGAAGAATCACATTCACACATGTAGACTACACACATAATGGGGGACCTACCCCATTACCACATAACAACACTACCTGGAACCAATCACGATTCAATGCTACGCTCTTCTCATCAAATATGGAAAAAGAGCTGATGACATCATGTCTTAGGGCGCGCTCACACTGCGACCAAAACCAGCGTCCATGCGGCCATGCGGCCAAGTTGCATGGCAACGGCATGAACTTGACCAAAACGTCGCGGCCACGTTTCAAATCGTGACCGCGACCTCCGGAGGGGGGTGCCACGACTTGGCGGCAACATGATCGTAGACGTGAAGCGTATTTGTGTACAACCTGGCCTGAAGTATGTTCAATTTCTCAAATTCCGGTGTGTTCATTCATGAAAATCGGCGGTTGTCGCGATGTCACCTCGACATTTGCACATTTTTTAAAATTTTGTAGTTGTGGTCCTGCACGCACGCACCGCCATATATGCATTCTTTGCCCTTTTTGGACGATGTCGATTTTGTTTTTGTAGTTGCTTCGTTGTCATCGGGTCAGTGACCAATTTCTACAGTGTACTCGTTCAATACGATGGCAGCTTGGTCTGGCTTTTCGGTTTCGGAAATCATCTTTCTCTACTTTTCTGCGATGATGGAATGCCATACCTCAAGAAATTTCAGTTACATACATGTATCATCGGAAACTACAGTTCTCATCTCGGCAACAGACGAAAGAAACCACTACCGGAATTTCCACTGCACTGGCACTTGCTCTGACCACGAGGTCAGGAAAGCGAAAGCGCTTGGATGTCAGCGGCAGTCCCTCAAGAGTCCAAACCTACCTGATTGTATGAATTATTTTCGTCGACTTCAAGAATACGAGCCACGACTCACGAGGCACTTCCTACTACTTCCTCCAACATGCAACATGCGAAAAATTACATCCGAAACGGGCCACAACTTTATTAGGAAACGCACGAACTCTTTTGGATACGAACTGCGATTCGTAAAGTTTGTGTGACAACTTCACGTCTACGCGTGTACGAGGCCTAGTGTGAGCACGACTCCCACGTTTCTGCGTTTTGCTGACGCATGGACGCGTACTCATGGTCGCAGTGTGAGCGCGCCCATAGAGCACAGTCCCATTCAGACCAGGGTGGTGTTGGTGTTGTCAATCTGATTGTCGTAAAATTCTATTTCATAACTGGTTGTTGCTAAAAACATGTCACCATAATGGCATGGCGGCTCTGAGCAACTTGACAATGACAATGCAGACACTGTACTCGTAGTGAGTTGCTTGAGTGTGGTCTGGTGTGTGGTACGTCTTGTGTGTGGTTTGGTGTAGTATTCAGCAACAGACTGTACATTCGGGTGTTCGTGCGTGAGCAGGTCTACTGTATGTGTAAGCATGCAATGGTGTGTTGGAACCTTGGACTTGGAGGGCTGTTGCTGTTGTTGTTGCTGTCTTTTCCTCTGGCATGTGAATGTGCGTGAAAATCATACTGTAGTATGTTTATTTTGCCAGTAAAAAGGGCTAAAGTAATTCCACCTCCACCAAACACGCTCTCTGGCCAACCTCACACACCAGCAACATGAATCCAAGGCTTTTGGAGAAGAGCGCGTTCGGTGGATGTGGAATAACTTTATAGATAAACAAGCCGAAAGCTGCTGCTTGTCCTTTAAGAACGTAAAAAGTTTGTCCTAGTAAACAAATACATCATAACGTAACAAGGTTTGTCCTAGGAGACTCCCTTCGATAGGCATCTATTTGCCTCTGGAGGATCCGTGAAATATAAATCAATCAATAGTAAACAAATACAGCATAACGTAAAAAGGTTTGTCCTAGTAAACAAATACAGCATAACGTAAAAAGGTTTGTCCTAGTAAACAAATACAGCATAACGTAAAAAGGTTTGTCCTAGTAAACAAATACAGCATAACGTAAAAAGGTTTGTCCTAGTAAACAAATACAGCATAACGTAAAAAGGTTTGTCCTAGTAAACAAATACAGCATAACGTAAAAAGGTTTGTCCTAGTAAACAAATACAGCATAACATAAAAAGGTTTGTCCTAGTAAACAAATACAGCATAACGTAAAAAGGTTTGTCCTAGTAAACAAATACAGCATAACGTAAAAAGGTTTGTCCTAGTAAACAAATACAGCATAGCGTAAAAAGGTTTGTCCTAGTAAACAAATACAGCATAACGTAAAAAGGTTTGTCCTAGTAAACAAATACAGCATAACGTAAAAAGGTTTGTCCTAGTAAACAAATACAGCATAGCGTAAAAAGGTTTGTCCTAGTAAACAAATACAGCATAACGTAAAAAGGTTTTGTCCTGGTAAACAAATACAGCATAACGTAAAAAGGTTTGTCCTAGTAAACAAATACAGCATAGCGTAAAAAGGTTTGTCCTAGTAAACAAATACAGCATAACGTAAAAAGGTTTGTCCTAGTAAACAAATACAGCATAACGTAAAAAGGTTTGTCCTAGTAAACAAATACAGCATAACGTAAAAAGGTTTGTCCTAGTAAACAAATACAGCATAACGTAAAAAGGTTTGTCCTACTAAACAAATACAGCATAACGTAAAAAGGTTTGTCCTAGTAAACAAATACAGCATAACGTAAAAAGGTTTGTCCTAGTAAACAAATACAGCATAGCGAAAAAAGGTTTGTCCTAGTAAACAAATACAGCATAACGTAAAAAGGTTTGTCCTAGTAAACAAATACAGCATAGCGTAAAAAGGTTTGTCCTAGTAAACAAATACAGCATAACGTAAAAAGGTTTGTCCTAGTAAACAAATACAGCATAACGTAAAAAGGTTTGTCCTAGTAAACAAATACAGCATAACGTAAAAAGGTTTGTCCTAGTAAACAAATACAGCATAACGTAAAAAGGTTTGTCCTAGTAAACAAATACAGCATAACGTTAGAAGTTGTACTTAAGACTACAGACTGTACTTTGTACTTGTACAGAGTTTTCCCTTCAATCGTCGTGACGTCATTACACATAACACTAGACATAACAACCCAGTGGCATTGAGTTCAGAATGGAAACTTTTACCAATATAATACACAGTCTTGAGATACAGAGCCAGCTCCTGAATGATGGTATGGTCCCAGGTCGGTTACAGGGACACTCATTTGCCAATACCCAATTTCAGTACAATGGGAGTATGCATCTCTAGCTCTGTGCGGTATCATATGTGGTAGTTCCAGCTACACATTGGGCCTCCAGCCACAGACACAGACACCACATTTGCAGCGGATCACGTTAGAAAATCATTTCCTTCTTACATGACTTGTAGAAAATGACATCTTGTTTGAGATTTTCCACATTTCCACTATGAGACGAACAGCAGTGTAAAATACAGACTCCACTGTATGTCGACTATGCTACACATCAACACTGTCTAACTGCATCGTCACACAATCAACCACTACATTGATTAAGAGTGATCACGTGACATTCATGGACATCATCATTGCTATCATTTACAAAGCTACATAGAACACAGAAACGCAGTGCATGATATCACGTGACGGAGACTGGCTCAGTCACAGTCAATGACTTACATGCAGACAGTCTAACAGCAACTTCTGCTCAGCAGTAGGCATATGCAGATAATTCCGGAAGACAAATTGGCAGAATTCGGTACTTTTTCTGGTAAGTTTCATGCATGTTTGGTATGTGGATATAGAAATGGAGCAGAATACAAGGAATTGTCCACCATAAGGTTTGCATGGTTCTGCCAATTTCACTGCTTTTCGAGCAGAATCTGCCAATGCCTACTCAGCAACATGGCCAAACATTCTCTTTGGAAAAGTTTTCTAAATTCCTTCATCGTTAGTACGTAGAAGTAGTTTTTTAAAAGTTTTTTAAAGTTTTGTTCTCACTAAGATCTGTGTTGAGATGATTAGTCGGCACCGTTATGTACGGAGAGTCCCATAAGACGGCGACGGGAGCCTCGCAGACGCATGTCCACGGCGCTGAAAATGACGAACTGAGTGCGCACGAGTACCCAAGCCATCATGGCAGAGAAGGGCTTCTCCTATTTCGCTGCTTTAAAGCGACTGGTGAGACGTTTCTGGTACGCACTGTACTCGTGGTGGAGGACAGCATCAGTGGAACACACCAAAGGAGTAAAGGAGCCTCGTAGCTCTTCAGCGGCATGCTTATACTTCCGCTTCTTCGCTGCAGCTGCTTTGTTGGCGCTGGCATTCCAGGACAGGTTGACCTTGGCATAACTGGGTGCGTCAGCATCTACGATGCGGTTATCGAAAAACGCCACCCGGTTACCTTCCCATACTCCGCGAGCGAGCCAGTCCGCTTGGAGCATAGGGCGACCATTCCTGTCCTGTTCCGGGATGAGGATCGGCTCGATGGTGACGCCGCCGAAGGCAATGTCGAAGCTTGGCATCACTGTCACGGAGGTCGTTGTGGCCTCTCTTGACAAGGCTGCCCTCACGCACAGTATCAAGGGTAGCACATACATGTACATGTAGTATAAGTACAGCTGGACAGCGTTTTCCAATATCTAAACTCACTCTACAGAGTTTGGGCAGATTTCAATGTTTGCCCAATTAAAGACTGAAAATGGCCGGAGAAACGTTCTTTACTGGTATGGAGTCATAATTTCACGACATTCCTGTTTGGCCATTGCTGTTGGAAATGAACAGATCTGGGTAGTGTGGTTTGAACACAAACTTCGTAACTACACGTACCTGATTGTAGTATGTAAGTTTGACGATGACAGTGTGAACAAGGTGGACTACCCACTGTATGGGAAAACACTACTCCAGGCTCACTGCAACCATACACCGGTTGCCGGGTGGGGTCTCGATCTTGTGCCCATTTGAATCGTATGGGGCTATGCCCCTGTTCAGACACTCACTACTCTATTGGAGCATTATACTTATAGGAATATTCCCTGATCTCGTGGTTCAAATGGTCGCAAGACCGGGCCCGCCAACCAGTTTATGGTTTCAGTCAGGAACACTGTTTCTCATACAGTGGGTCCTCCACCTTGTTCACGCTGTCATCGTGAACACATGTTAGTCCCTGGATTAATTAAAGAGGGACGACTGTAGACTGTAGTGGTACCGAATACTACCGATTCCCTGGAATGGAGTCAGCGAATCACTGGTTCATTCATTGACACATCTATGATCTAGATCCTGTCAAAGTTGTCACGGCAATGACATCATGTGTGCGACGAAAACTAATTCAGTTTTTCACATTTTTTTCTTTGAATGAATGGAATAAATATTTTTATGACCGGCTGGAAGTGTGTTGGTCAGTGTATCCAAGACGTGATCGAGGCAAACGTCAGGTCGTTGAATGTCAGTATCATCAGTGAATATTGTGGAAAATGCCACACGTCTGACCTACATCATCTTGGAAATAAGTTAGTGGACAACAACGCACACTGCGCTGTAAACCTTTGGTCCTTTCCTTCTTCTAAGTAATTCTATTCTAATCTTGGCTTATGATCAGACTGGCAAAGAGCCATGCTTCTCTCACCACCATCATCTATACTTTACGCACGTGGCCTAGTAGATGCATGGCTGATGATACTCACATAGCTGACTGATACCTGTACATCAGGTAGTGTCTGGTGCATAGGCGGACACTCATCGACGACTTGGCTGGTATTGTGACGTAGGTTTCGTGCCTCCAGGACTCGTTGCTCACTGTGCATGCAGTCGATGCGCCAGAGCGAAAAAAGCCCTTTTTATTATCCCGGTCAGCTCATTTTGTCCAGAGGTGAAGATGACGATTCCGTGAAGAAGTAATGGCTGACGTTGTCGAACATTCAGACCCACTGGAGGCGTTCCACAGCCTGGAGCCCGCCGATAAGGAATTCGATGCGACTTGAGTAAGTACTAAGGTGATCCGTAATATTTTTGGGGTCAGCTATTGAGCCATTGAGAAGTTTCGTGTTGTCGTTTTCTTACACACGGTACAGTGGTAGAACTGATTTCCTCCCTCCTTTGGTATTTAGCCAGTAATGGACTCCATCATATCTTACACAATATCCGAGATAGCAGAAAGATAGTCCCAACCAACCTGTGTAAAGATCTGGTCATGTCTATGTCCAGACCTACTGCTAACTCAAATGGCACGAAATGAAAGAATTGTTTTGTGATACGTAAAATCCACGAAAGTGATATTTCATCACACCGAAGGTTCAAAATATCCCAGGTTACAATAGTTTCTCGCCCATATAGCAGCAGATGGATTGTGTTCCCGGTATATCACCATTTTCAGTGGAAGCATTGTGCTCCACGTCTATACATGCTCATTGAAACTCAGGCAAATGTGTTTATTTGTGTATTTCAGGTCAAAATTCGTAGTGCATTCCATGTTTCTAGCATATATGCCATAATTCCAGTAAACAATAACACGCACGCATCACCTGTGTGCACATTGACTCAATCTTGGTCCAATTCGTTGCTGGTTTCTTGCTTTTCAGTCTCCTCAAATGAAACAACCTTTTGCTTACTGGAAATGTCGCATTCTTCCCTGGCGGAGGTGTTGTTGAAAGTGTGGCATTTTAGCCCTGGCCTGCATAACAGATTTGCCTTTTGCACTCGCATTGTATGATCCTGCAGCCGGACTTGCACCCACAGCCTTTTGTCAGGCCTGTGACAGGCTGTCTGACTGCTGCAAGATGTTTGTCAGAGCCCCACACCATGACTAGGTCATTGGTTCTTTACAATCCCTACCTTGAAGAGGTGGGTAGTTGATAGTAGAATTTGTTGCTTAAATTGAGCGATAATCAGAGGCAACAATTCCAGTGTAGCTGAATTCCACTTGTAGGTTTTACGGCACCGCCATCCATGGACTCTTGGTACTACTTCATACTGAAGTTTCACTGTGTGTGGAACCCGCCTGTCTGTGTTAGTGTTTTCCTTTGACGTCGCTTCGTCTCAGTTTCTTCCTCAGTGCTTGTTGTGCTTGGCATGTGGCAGGCAAATGGCCATGGAACTTCAACTGTGGTACTTGCATCAATTGGGCTAGTGTGACCAGTGGTAGGCCTTGACAGATTATGCTAATATTTTCGTGAAATTATGCTTTTCGCATTGCTGAAAAAATTGCAGAATTATGCTATTTTTATGCTAAAAGTTATCATATTATGCCGCATTATGCTCACATATGTTGCTAATGTACAATGTACATGTAATGGTTCTGTGCAAAATAACAGGGGAATTTTTTTGTAGAGGGCGTTGCACTGTATTTTATATTAGCAAAAGTTCAACGGGGTCAATGCACCGTCCGACCTAGCTACGACCGTCACTGATTGTAGTGGACTGGACATGTTCTCAAGAGAGTCGTAAACCTACGACTTCCTGGTGCATCTACTTGTACTTGTACTTGCAGAACTTGTACAACTGTATGGAATTTGATGCGAACAGGCGGATTATTCCAATTTTATGCGATTCGTATGCAATTTGCCTCGAATTATGCGATTATTCGATTTTGGTAGGAATTATGCGAAAAATTATGCTAGCATTATCTGTCAAGGCCTAACCAGTGGATAGTAGTTGATTTACATGTTGGACTGGTGTGCCACGTAGCCTTCTGCTGGCAGCCTGGCACTACATGTGTTGCCAGGGTACCTCTTTGTCGATTTTGTCCACAGACACCACGCTCACACTCGGCATGTATACATGGAGCTTCAGGTCTTGAATGCCCTTCCCTTTTGCTATGTTCACCATTGTCATTCTGTATGTATTGTAGGTGCTATGGCCGGCCGTTACTCCCCGTTGAGAAAAGATCCCTGCAAGTGTACTTGACTGGCTGTATGCGTCTAATACGTCTGCAAGCACCAACTGAAGTGGGTGAGTGCGAACTGGATGACTTACTGTAATGTCGTGTATGAAAGCCAGGCGTATTTCTGTAGAAGCCGGTGTGGTGGCTAGGCCTCTATTTACATTATGTTGCATTATGTTTGTAGTCAAACCAAACTTTTTATGGTTGCCGATGCAAAATCCACATTATTGTGCTAATTGCATATAAAATATAAGCACGGTCTCCATTATAAGCGCGGTCTCCAATATAAGCACGGGGTAGAGGGGTGTTGAAAAAATATAAGCACGGCGCTTATAATAGAGAATATACGGTATCTTGAAACTCAGGCTTGTGTTCAGAACAGGCTTCTGCATAAGACAGGCTTTTATAGAAAGCAGTGGAGTAAGTGAAGGACTGTTCATACTACTTGTAGACACCACAGGTACTACAGGTATGTGTGTGAAGCTTCATTCCAGGGGAGAAAACGAGAGCGAGGTGGAATTGTCACCATCCAGTATTGTCCACCCTCATGACCATAGCTTGGGGTGGATAGTCCTGTCCCCAGGGAAAATCGCGGAACAAATTTGCGGTGTAATTTGCGGGTAAATATGGCATAATTTGCGGTGAATTTGCGGTAAATATGCGGTGAATATTATTGATATGCGGCAAGTTTGCAGTTAATATGAGGCAATTTACCGGGGAGCCGGTCATGTGCCATGTGTATGCTAGGGAGCACGCACCCTACACGTAGACTCTCTACTTGATGTCAACGGCTCACAACGGTCAACCGAACAGTGCACTGTGTGTACGTGTAGCGCAACAAAAATGTTCAAAAACGCGGGAAAATCGTGGAAAACGCGGTCTTTTAAAACATCGCAAAAAAAGCGGGAAAAACGCGGCCGCGGAATCGCGATTTTCCCCGGGGACAGATAGTCTGACAAACAGATGATAAGTCCTTTATTCTTAGTTTCTCGGTACTCTCCTCCACTGTACATTGGCCTGCTGTAGGTCAATTTGGTGGATAACTTTGACAGCTGTGTCCATGGACTTGCCCTTTACTACATCGTGTTTTGGGGTTGCATTCGTCCTCCATGGTTGTGTGTAGGCACCTGGACAGAGCCCGGTGCAGAGCTTGGGTGGTACCCAACCGGCTCACATGAGCATGATGCCACCTTTCTTAGCTTTGGGGTATGCAGTAGGAATGTGTGCCACTAGTCCCTCCTCCATCAGGGACAGTAGAGTTAGTTGGTAATGCTTGTAGCGAGAATGTTATGTGTCAGGTATTCCTCAAAGTAATAATATATTTATGCCATTTTAGCAAATAATGTTGCTCCATTGTGTAACAGTTTGTCTGCTACTAATTATACTCCGTCAAGCATTCATCTTCTGCATGGTATTGTACTGCTTTGGCTGGTTTATTGCTGCCAGGTGCTGCGCAATGTCAACGATCGATGCACGTAATCATTACCCACAGCAGTGGTGTCGGTCAGTGGTGTAACTACCTTCCTCAACAATCACCAGCTGCTGGCTTGTGACAGTTTTGACGAAAATTAGTCGGTCTCTCTCATTCCGCTATCCCTTTTTCGACTCTGAGGAGATGCTCGACAAGCACATAATTTGGTACTTCCCGTACAGCCTAGTATTTGCAGTATTTGCTTCCTACACCAGCCACAGTGCTTTTCTTCCCACGTTCTTTTTTCCGCTGGACGGTTTGGGATTATCTTTTGTGTTACATTCTTTCGTTTTCTGTTACATCCTTTTCCTGTTCTTGTGTGTTAACGTTTCAGTGGAATGGTGCAATGCATTTCCAACCAATGCAGTCATTCTGGTTTAAATTGGATTGAACTGTACAGGTTTCCAATGCTTATGGCATATTACTGATGTATTCTCAGTCATATTGAGCACACGTGGGTGGGTAAACCGCTTACAGGGCGGTTCTCATCGGCAGCAGCAGGTACACTGGGACCCACGTGGAGATTGTGGGTGGTGTCCAACTAAAGCTTTCGTGCTTTGGCCTATGCCAAGGGCATGAAACGTACTCTGTGCATGGAAAGACGACGAAAATCAGCAGCTTTGCAAATACACCTCTACAGCCCGTTTCCGCAGTGACACACATTGTGGCTGTTTCCGCAGTGACACACATTGTGGCTGTTTTTCATCCGTTAGTACACTATGTTTGCTGGCGCAGACATGTGTCAGTATTGTCCGGTGCTACTGCTAACTCAAATGGCACGAAATGACAGGTTTCTCGTCGCTCGTCACTGGCTGAAGCCTTTCTTCTTACAAACCCGCCCGCCATGCGAACGGTTTAGCAAAACCACCACCCTCGCTCATGCAAATACTAGGGCACACGTATAGTATCAACGGAAAATGCACAACAATGCCTCTGAATACTCTTCTTATTGAGAAAATTGGCATTGACTGCCCGTCTGTCGATAAAAAATACGTCTCCAAAATGCAGCTGTTTGCATTTGAATTTTCCCGCGCTTTGGCATTTGGGATAATAAAACTACCTCTAAACGTCGACTTTTCGCAAAACGGCGCATCGCCTGTGTGTGATGAAACATATCCAACTCAAAGACAAAGCTGCACTAACTTTCATGCGTATTGCACTACATGAAGTATGTATTTTTTTCTATCAAACTTATCTTATCTTACCATGGCTTACCATGGCTGTCTGACGGCCACTTTACACTTGATGAAATGCTCACTTACATTGTTATGTCTTAGTGTTAGCTTGTAACTTGTTTCAGATTACATGTAGTAGTGTGACTGTTCCTGTACTGTCTTTTAACAGACAACTTGAACTTTCTATCAATCTTCTCCTGCATGTACATCCCTGATGATGACCTCCTGGGTAAAAATGTGGACAATTTCAACTGTACGTGGTGTAGCCAAGGACTGTTTGTGTGTTGTGAGTTGGGTATACTGAAAATATGACAAGGCTACAGTGAAGTTTCAAAGTTCTTAAAAAACTTATCTGCTTCTGTGTATGTTTAACAGTATAGTACTTTCCGGCTCAGTTTCCTTCTGTTCTTCCTTTGATTAAGTGTTATAATTATGGAAAATGTGCCATTGTGTTGAAAATCAACCTGTATTGTGTTTTTTTGCCAATGAAAAGGGCTGTACTAGTTAAACAAATAGACTACCAAAGTTGTACTTAAGACTACAGACTGTACTTTGTACTTGTACAGAGTTTTCCCTTCAATCGTCGTGACGTCATTACACATAACACTAGACATAACAACCCAGTGGCATTGAGTTCAGAATGGAAACCTTTACCAATAGAATACACAGTCTTGAGATCCAGAGTCAGCTCCGGAAGGGTGGTATGGCCCCAGGTCGGTTACAGGGACACCCATTTGCCAATACCCAATTTCAGTACAATGGGAGTATGCATCTCTAGCTCTGTGCGGTATCATATCTGGTAGTTCCAGCTGCACATTGAGCCTCCAGCCACAGACACAGACACCACACTTGAACCGGATCACGTTAGAAAATCATTCTTACATGACGTGTCGAAAAAGCCATTTTGTCAGAGATTCTCCCACATATCCACTATGAGATAAACAGCAATGTAGAATACAGACTTCACTGTATGTAAACTATGCTACACATCAACACTGTCTAACTGCATCGTCACACAATCAACCACTACATTGACTAAGAGTGATCACGTTACATTCATGGACATCATCATTGCTATCATTTTACAAAGCTACGTAGAACACAGAAATGCAGTACATGATATCACGTGATGGAGACCGGCTCAATCATAGTCAATAACATGGCCAAAAATTCTCTTTGGATTTATGTTCTCTAAATTCTTTCATCGTTAGTACGTGTAAGTAGTTTTGTTCTCACTAAGATCTGTGTTGAGATGATGAGCTGACAAAGTAGCAAACATTTCAGTGAGTCTGTACCTCTACGCACAGTATCAAGTGTAGCACATACATGTACATGTAGTATAAGTACAGCTGGACAGCGTTTACCAATATCTTTTAACTCTCTACAGAGTTTGGGCAGATTTCAATGTTTGCCAAATTAAAGACTGAAAATGGCCGGAGAAACGTTCATTACTGGTATGGAGTCATAATTTCACGACATTCCTGTTTGGCCATTGCTGTTGGAAATGAACAGATCTGGGTAGTGTGGTTTGAACACAAACTTCGTAACTACACGTACCTGATTGTAGTATGTAAGTTTCACGATGACAGTGTGAACAAGGTGGACTACCCACTGTATGGGAAAACACTACTCCAGGCTCACTGCAACCATACACCGGTTGCCGGGTAGGGTCTCGATCCTGTGCCCATTTGAACCGTATGGGCTATGCCCCTGTTCAGACACTCATTACTCTATTGGAGCATTATAGGAATATTCCCTGATCTCGTGGTTCAAATGGTCGCAAGACCGAGACTCTACCAACCAGTTTATGGTTTCAGTTATGAACCCTGTTTCCCATACAGTGGGCCCTCCGCCTTGCTCACGCTGTCATCGTGAAAACATGTTAGTCCCTGCATTAAGGAGGGACGACTGTAGTGGTACCGAATACTACCGATTCCCTGGAATGGAGTCAGTGAATCACTGGTTCATTCATTAACACATCTATGATCTCTCGACTAGATCCTGTCAAAGTTATCAAGGCTATGATATCGTGTGTGCGACGAAACCTCATTCAGTTTTTCACAGTTTTGTTTCTTTGAATGAATGAAATTAATATTTTATGACCGGCTGGAAGTGTGTTGGTCAGTGCATCCAAGACGTGATCGAGGCAAACGTCAGGTCGTTGAATGTCATGCAGTATCATCAGTGAATATTGTGGCAAATGTCACACATTCTGACCCTACATCATCTTGGCAATAAGTTAGTGGACAACAACGCATACTGCGGTGTAAACATTTGGTCCTTTCCTTCTTCTAAGTAATTCTATTCTAATCTTGTCTTCAGATCAGACTGGCAAAGAGTCATGCTTCTCTCACCACCATCATCTATACTTTACGCACGTGGCCTAGTAGATGCATGGCTGATGATACTCACATAGCTGACTGGCACCTGTACATCAATTAGTGTCTGGTGCATAGGCGGACACTCATCCACGACTTGGCTGGTATTGTGACGTAGGTTTCGTGCCTCCAGGACTCATTGCTCACTGTGTGATCAACCATGCGTAAGCTGCGCTACAGTGTATACGTTATGAGTGTGATGTAGCAGTTAGCTATGTGCATATCACCAGACATTCATCCACATGATGCTATACGCAAACAGAGCAGAGTAGGAATGGGTGATTAGGATAATGATGTACATGTATGCAGTCCTGGATTAGAATCTACCAGTAAGATTACATTGACTTATTGTTTGTGTTTCTATACATGGGTAAGCTAACAACTGATCTGTGTTTGTGTGTGTGTGGGGGGGGGGGGGGATCTATGTGCCCGTGGCGTGGAGGCATCGTGGTATGATGTTGCATGTGAGTCCCGCGCGCAGTGGCGCAGCACCTACCAAGAGCCTGACAATGCGCCTGAGCCTCCGCCCTGAGTGGTATGTACGGTATGCGGACGGGAATTTGCACGGAAAGGAGACATGGCTCGGCATAAGTGTCTGGAGGAGCGTGCGCGGCCTGTGTCTGAGCAGCGGGGCGCCAGTCAGTGCGGATGGTGTGGGCGGTGGCTGAGAAGCCGCGGTGGCTTGGTCCGGCATGTGTGTGCCTCAACGGTGGATGCCACAGTGCCACCTGGAGCTACCGGAACGTCGGCACCGGCGGAGGGATGTTGTGCCGCGCATTGTGACAGGTGTGGTCGCTGCTTTCGCGGTGTCTGGGGACGGGGTAGGCATCGCTGTTCAAGGGTGGCGCATAGACCAACAGCAGAGGAGCGCTCAGCCTTCCAGCACATGTGCATATGCGGCAAGCGGATGCGACTACTCTTGCACCTGGAGCGTCATCGAGCGTCGTGACCTCTCTCTCTCTCTTCTCAAGTTTCCCAGTGATGGGATCACGTGACCCTTTTGCGGCAGTGACTCTACAGGACAGGACAGGACAGGACAGGTGTGTGTCTGTGTATGTAGCCCTTGCCGGATTATGCTTGCATAATTTCTGACATAATCTTCAGAGTTTTGTCTAAAAATTATGGCCTGGCATAAAAGGACTTGCCAGAGTGGTTGTAACGTTGCAAAGTGCAACAAGAGTGCAAGGGTAGAGTATAGCACCATCATTGGCATCATTCCACCATCATGTAGCATAATCACTGGCATAATGGAAAGCATATTTCAGCAAATTACCGAGCATAATCCGCCAAGGGCTATGCGTGTGTGTGTGTGTGTGTGTGTGTGTGTGTGTGTGTGTGTGTGCGTGTGTGTGCGTGCGTGTGTGTGTGTTTTGTGATGTAAATGTTTTCATAATAAGTGTTGTGAACCTCTTTTGCCAGCAAAATAAACACAATGAATGGAAATGCAATACAAAAATCGGTGAAAAAAAGAATTGTGCGATGCTCCCTACATGGGAGCTCGCGGTTTTCCTGCCGACTTTGAATTCTCACTTGATTGACTCACGACTGCGATCCAGAGCACCCCAAGTATCGCCGAAGTCGCACCAACCTCTTCTTCACATTGTTGTCCCCAGCGCGGGCTTGCGATTTAAATGGTTTGGAGGCAACAATGTTGTGAATGGCCGGCAACGGTCCTCAGCGCTTGTTCAGCACCTCCATGAGCGACGCTAACTCATGCTTCTATGTGGTGTTCACGAGGTGTTAGTCGCGCTGGAAACGGAGCGTCTCTGTAAGTTTGTATCCCTGGTGATGTTTGTGCCTGGAGAGCAGTAAGTACATGTATAATGTAAGTGGTGCTCTTCAGGCACAATCTTCCTCAGCCTACTCAAGCTTAACTGATAAGCCTGGGGG